GGGGGGTCACATAGTCGTGGTCAAGTCAAGAGCTTGACAAAATATATTTACATTTATAAATATATACATATATTTTGTCAAGTTCTTGACCAATCAGATCTGGGGGGTCATGACTCTCCTCCCAGGATTCGCCCTTGCATAGCGTAAAGATTTATTTGTTCGGGATAAATGTAAACATAACTAAACCGCTTAAAAACATTCTTTCACTATTTAAAAGATCCTTCTTTTGTCTTTTTAACTAAGCAGACTTCTATGTACACGAACTTATAGATGTATTGTTTTTTTTTAATAATTACATTCTCTTTATTTTAGGTCCATGGCTATTTGGTAACTATTTTTACTTCTACATACATTTAAACAACATTAACCAAAAGTGTTGATGAAGATCAACTATGGGTGAATTTATTTAGGATTTTGTTTTTTTCTAATGAAAAAGAATACATGTCCCAAGGAAACCGTATATATATTTGCATATGTCTACGAGCAGCAGCCGCTTCGTTATTTCGGCGAATTCCAGTGGCCGCCTGCTCGTTTACCTTTAAAAAATTTCGTATGGTCAATTTGACCATACATTTTGATTTTTAATTACCTTTTTTAAATTGCAGAGAGACAGGCCTGATGATGATGATGATGATAACAATAACAACAACAATAACTAAGAACTTATGCATTTTAATACCAAATAACAACATTGGCGCGAAATCGGACACGGAATTTTTTAATTAGATAATTTAGCAAATATACAGTTGCAGCAATACTTTGTGTTTTTTTAATATACATGTTAGAGGTCCGTCCCGACTTCATACTGGCTTAAAAGAAACAATTAAAAAAAAAAATGTACTTTATTAAATAAAGAATACAATTCCACTTGCATTTAAGATCTAATGTTTTTAATAAAATGTCTTATATTAAACAAATAATTATTCTTGATCCATCTAAGTAAAGGTAGACCAAGTCTCTATTATATAAAAACTTTACAAACAAAAGTTTCACTGTACATTGTCACATTTAACATTCTACATTCTTATCTCACAAACATTCTTAATATTATCTTTTAGTTAGCACCAATTGCTCGGAAAACTTTAATAGTTTCAGCATTTAAAAGTATAAATTTATAATATTTAATACTATATTAAATACCAAAAAAAATCCTGGCCGTAAATAACTATTTAGTCAGTATTTTATGATAATATATCAAATACTATAGTAATAGGTACAAAAAAAATCCTGGCTGTCAAGAACTATTTGGTCAGATTTTTATGATATTTCAAATACTATGGTAATAGATACAAAAAAAATCCTTGCTGTCAAGAACTATTTGGTCAGATTTTTATGATATTTCAAATACTATGGCAATAGATACAAAAAAATCATGGCCGTAAAGAACTATTTGGTCAGATTAAAAAAAAAAACCTGGTATTACTCTGGTTCACATAATTCATATTTTTCAATACATTCCAGTAACCAACCAATAGGTAGAGCTTTCAAATGTTTCATGTTATACATTGGTTCATACATATCTTTAAATATAATATAATGTGAACATATTTCTAATTTTCCACCCTTTCTAGCATGATATGGTACCAATTTCTCAGTTTCAGGTATTGATTCTGGGTTCGGAATCCGTCTTAATACTACCCCACCTGCTTCAGTTATCAATTTAGACAATACAGTCTTGTTTAGAATAAGTGTTTTTGATATTTCGTAATTAGTATTAAAGTTATGAAAATAAAAATGACATCCGTTAAAAAGGCCAGGGAGTTGTTTGTACTTGTTATATCTAGATTTTTTGGGCCCATTAAAATTTATTGTACCAACACCTTTGATTTCATAATCTATGAATGTTTCCAATTTGTTTTCAGTACTTTTTAGTATCCAATCAGTGGATAGAATCCAAATACCATAGACTATAGCTTGTAGAACATCTAAAGTTGGTAAACAAATGCCTTCATTCGAGTCTATTATTAAATGTGTCACTTTATTTGTCAATTTTGTCTCTATATGGATATTTTTATGATGCTTTACTAATGTTTTTAACTTTTTTTGTATTGTAATGTATTCAGAGACGCAATAAACTTGTATGTCATCATAATCAAGTTCCATTTGTATTGTAGATATATGAGATACATCAGCTGTTTGTGTGTGGATAACATTTTCTGCAGCTCTCTCTAATAATTTTCTCATTTCACCATTAGCTAATTGTATTGGAGTTTCTCCTTTACTGTTCTTAGCATCCAAATCAGCTCCATGAGTGACTAATTCATTCACTATGTCTTTATGGTTGTACCTAACAGCCTCATGTAAAGGTGTTTCGTTATCTGGACCTGGTACATTGATCAGGGTTTTATATTGAAACAGCAGTCTCACTAAATCGAGTCTCCCACTTTGAACAGCTTCGTGTAATGGTGTCCAACCAGCATTATCTTTTGTATTTGAATTTGCCCCATCTTCAAGTAATTGTTTTACTCTTTCTATGTTACCTAAACGACAAGACACATGTAATGGTGTTTCACCTTTCTTGTTACGTTTTTCGGCATTTTTGGTTAACTTCGAACTGGTAGCGATTGATAGAATTGACATGTTTGGATTTTCAGAAATAACTTTTTTGTTTAATGTTGCTTCACAGTTTTCTTTATCCTTACTTTTAGTTACAGGTTTTTTAGCATTTCTGCTTTTATTTTTTTTAGTACTGTTTTCTTTGGATACGTTTATTGTACTAGTTTCCGTTTTATAAGATGAAAACATTTTATCCAATTGTATTGCAGAATTAACACTGGCCTCTAGACGATCGTCTTTAAAAATACGCTTGTCTTGTAATGGTTTTTCACAGTAAGGGCATTTTATTAATTCATCAATATGTACTTCGCAAATGTAATGGAAACAGCACATCAATGTAACCGGTTTTTTACACAATTGTTTACAAGCCCGACATGTATAGTCTTGTTTTACTGCTTCTAGTGCCATTAAAAAGGAATTTATTTCCGACGAAGACATAATTAGAGCCGGGCTTATAATATTTTTATTATTTAATAACAATAAATGAGAAAATAAACCTTTTCGACGCGGGAATTCGAGTAATTTGACATAAATCATAAACAGTTTGACAATTGAGTTGACATAGATTAAAAATTGTATTTTAAATCAAAACTCTTACAAAAACATCTTTTCTAATATTTAAATGAACATAAAGTCGAAAATCGTGTTTGTATTTTCACGTCACGAAATACGTGTTTGTATTTTCACATCAATAATTTTATTTCAATTGGTAGGAAAGGTTATAAATTAAGACTCGTAACCTGGCAATCCTGTTGGTGCGTCAACGTGACAAATACTTCAACTTTCAAATCAAAATGTCTTCTAAAAAGTTTGTATTCATGAGATTAGATTTCTGAATTTATAAACTTTTAAAACCGCAACAAACGTTTAAAATGTCTTCAACTGTAGACCAGAAGGCATACCTGCAAAAGTATTTAACTGGAACATCAGGAATTAAGAAAAAGAAGAAGAAAAAGGTCGTCAAAGGACAAGGGTAAATTTTGTTAATGTTTATATTTGTTGTGGTTAGGTTCAAGTGATACAATTATCTTCAATAAGATCTAAGGCAGTACTTTTTTAATATAAATTGTAGGCTAAATTTCTATCATCTTATTCTGTATATTTCAGGTTTAAGATAATAGATGATGACCTAGATTTGACTAAGTTACGAGCCCTGGAAGGTGATGAATTAGACATTCTAGATGATGGGGAGGATGCGCCACAGATTGCTGGCATCATCGACGAGAGACCAGAAGAAATAAAAAAGATGGAACAATTTAAAACTACCTCAAAATGGAGAGTTGTTAATCAGGTATTTAATTACAAAATTATATATGACACTGTTGTATAGAAAATTTTATCCTCATTTTTTTATTTGTATCCTATCCTATCCCTATAATAAACATGCATTATAGTCAGCTTAACCATCTGGTAATAGCACCAACTCGTTTTGGACCCATCAGGGTCTATCATCAAAGTGAGTGATTTTAAAATATTTATGCTATCATATGTGAGTTGGGTTTTTTATTCATTTTTAAAGTCTCTTGAAAGCTTTCACAATTGTTCTCGAAAATTAATCTAACAATGTTGCATTTAATTTAAGGATGATGGATTTAACAGTAAATTACAAATAGAAGAAATTAAGAAAGACGTCAAAGAAATTGAGAAAGAAAATGAATTAATATTTGGTAAAATGTACAGCGATTCTGAGGATGAAAAGAATAATGACTCCGATCTTTCACCGCCACGGAAAAATAATCAAAACAATTCGAAAAGACAGAACAGTGATAGTGATTTCAGTCCACCGAGAAAAAGAACCACAGAATCGTCAGAGAAGAGAAAAACAAATGATAAAAATTATGATTCAGATTTTTCACCTCCACGGCGAAAGGAAAGTCAATTACCAAGAGAAAAACCTAGAAAACAAAGTCGGTGGGAGAAAATAGATGATAGTGACAGTAGAAATAGATCACCTAGCACTGACAATACAAATAAAAGGCAAAAAACAGACAAACAAACAAAACATAAACACTCAAAAAGATCAAGCAGTTCTGATCAATCTCCGCCAAGAAAATCTCAAAAAAACCATAGAAATGGGACTGAAAATTCACATAAATCGAGAAAAGATTCACCTAGAAGAGATCGAACCCCAGATTCAGATTTATCACCTCCTAGGAAAAGAAAGGAATCACCTAGAAGAAATAATGAAAAACACAATAAAGAAAGAAACAGTTACAATAGTGAAGCAAAAGATAGATATCAAAAAGAAAAAGATAAACGGAATAAAAGGAAATATGACAGTGATTCAGATATATCACCTCCTAGAAGAAAAAAGGCAGAAGATAGAGAAAAGAGGAATTACAAGCGAAATAGCGATAGTCCTCCTCCATCAAATAAGAAGATGGCTAAAACTTTAGACGGGAAACAAGCGGGACTTCAAGATGCTGTGCAATTGCGACGAGAGAATGAGAACTTTAAGAAAAGAGAAGAAGAAGCATTTAGTAAAATGACAGATGAAGTTTCCGGAAGAAATGCCAAAGCAGTTTCTCGGAAAAGTAAGTTTTTTACCTTTAGTAAGTCTCAAATGCATTGGAGTTCAATTATCTCTAAATGTAGATTAAATAATTTTTTCCCCAAGTACAAATTTCACTTCTCATTGTTTTATCTTCACATTTCTAAATTATTTTCAGGCAAAAGAGAGACATCAGAAGACAGACAGAAACAGAAAGAAAAAGCAGACAGACAAAAAGAATTGGATGAAAAATATAAAAGATGGAATAAAGGGTAAGTAGACTTAAAAATAGTGTTACAAAAAAATTTATTACTTGATTCATGCCTTTGTAATGTGCAAAAAATTTTTTTTAATCATGGTTTATTATTTTTCACTGTTTTACTAGTTTTTTCATTGTTTCAGAATAAAACAAGTTGAAGCCCAAGAGGCTAAGATACAAGAATATTTGCATGAAGCGTCAAAGCCTCTCGCGAGACACAGAGATGACAGAGATCTAGAAGATAACTTGAGAAGAGTAGAGAGAGAGGGAGATCCGATGCTGCGTTATATCAGAGAGAAGAAAGTAGAAAGAGGGGAGTTGCCACCAGGTAAGTCTGTTAGCTTTTGCCAATGTAGCTTTCTTTGAAAAAAAATTTAGCACTCTTCAGTAGTATTTTGATTTATTCCTCACTAGCTGTGCCTCGCGACTTTGCTCGCGTAAAATAAATGATAAAAACAAAGCCTAAGTTACTCAAAGATAATATGTTATAAAAGCATTGGCTTTTAAGCGGTGCGAGGATTTTTGAAATAAGCCCAGTAGTTTTTGAGTTATTTCATTACATGCATAAATGCAATCTTTTCCTTTTTATATTAGTATGGAAAAACAAACATCTTTAAATTATAGCGAAATAAAATTCAATTTTCATTATAAATATTTTCTTCGGTCATTGCAACGCTAATTTTAAATATTCCTTTTTCTTTTTTTTCATTTCATTAGTTATGTTTCTCATTATTTTGTGTTTAATTTTTTTTTTATAATTGTAGTGTTGACAAAGATTAAACATTGTTTTATTTTTTTTTTATTATTTTAATTCAGGTTGAACAAAATACAATTTTATATTTTTATTAAATTGAATAAAACGTGTTGTGTTCTTTTTACAGAAAAACCCAAATACAAGGGCAATTTCCCACCAAATCGTTTTAATATAAGACCAGGCTATCGCTGGGACGGAGTAGACAGATCTAACGGATATGAGAAGAAATACTTTGACCAACAAAGCAAGAGGAAAGCACAACAAGAAGAAGCATATAAATGGAGTACTGAAGATTTGTAAATATTGTAAAGTATTTTTCTATTGAATCATGAATTTAGTATAAAAAATAAAATGACCTTGAAAAATTTATTGTTTCATTTTTTGACAGACTTCCCAAAAGATAATGAATTTGCCTTTTTTTATGTGTTTTACGGCAAAACTCCGCCCCTGGTAGACCGATTTTGAAAATTCCTTTTTATCCGAAAGGTAGTGCTTGTAGGTGGGTCTCATATTTTTGTTTATAATTTTTGATGACTACGGCATAGTTAAATAGTTTTTTTAGCTTAAAAAACACTACAGGGTTATTGGTAATGCAACGTATTCCCGTTAGGTGTTAGAGGGGACCTTTTTAATGATTTCGACCCCTATATGCATTATACAAAAGTTAACCATTTTTGAGTAATCAATGTTTTTACAAAATAAGTCGAAAATACATCATCAAAATTTTGTCAAAAGAATAACTAACAATTATAACTTCATTTTCGCTTCGGATTTATAAAGCTTTTTTTGTTATTATTTTTGAAGAGCTAAGAAAATGGCCACGTTTTAAAAATCTGCCAGCCAAGTTATAAACGACTTTTTTTTAGGGCATTTCAATGGAAAAGAATCACGAAAAACATTCAAGTAAAATGGTTCTGTAGATCGCATTTTTTTTTAATAGAGAAAAAATTGATGTTTTCATATTGTTAAATAATGAATGTTTAAAAGATTTTATAAATCTAAAGAAAACGTGAAGTTACAATTGATAGTTTTTTTAAATACATTTTTTGAGTTTAATTTTCGACGTATTTAAAAAAAAATCTAAAAATCACGATAACTCAAAAATGGTAAACTTTTGCATTTTACCTTTGGAGGTGAAATTATCACTAATAATCTCCTTCACCTCTTAACAGAAATATATCGAATTACCAATAACCTTGTATAGGGAAAATAATTCTTTTTAGGTTAAAATAACAACACATTTATGTAAATCGTTTATTTTAAAACACAGATTCATTTGAAAATCGCTTGAAAATTAAAGCTAATATAATAAATATATTTTTATATTAAAACTAGTAAAAGCACATACAACATAAGTTTGCTTTAAATCAGTCGTTATAAGATTCTCTTCAAAATATTAACATATTAGAATAATTGAAACAACATTTCTTACTTGAAAATGTTTCCTTGTTGTTGTTTAGTATAACTATTCCATTAAGAAATATGTTAAAAAGATTAATGATTAAAAATATTTAAGCATAAACTTATAATTTGACACAAAAACAGATAAAAACAATCTAGTACTTCCACTACTTTTAGATTCATTATAAAAACATAATATAGATATTTTCTACTAAAATTAGTAGAACCACTGCAGTTTTTTATTCGATTTTACAAACTTTACTATAATTTGTCTACAAACAATATATTAACCCTGCTTTAATTGCAGCGAGTAAATTGACAAATGCAAATGTCTGGTTGTTCAAGGAGTTTTTACACGTTTTTAAAGTCAAGCCATTAGAAAAGAAGAAGAAATTGAATTATTCAAAATTAGAACACATTGTTGACGTCATCACTTTTTTCTAGTCTGTTTCTGTACATATTTTGTCATTACATAATGTCTCCGTTAAAAATAGTTTTATTTCTAAATCTTTTACGATATACATTTTTAAACTGTAACTTTGACTTCTATTATACGCTTAAAGTATTAAAAATGACCAAAAAAACACTCCATTTTTAAACTATTTTAGTAATGAATGTTTAACTATGACTAGTTTTATCATAAACTTTATTTTTCTCGTTACAATCTTACTAATATTATAAACGCGAAAGTTTAGATGGAAGGTTGTTTGTTAGAGTTTGTAGCCAAAACTGCTGACCGGATATCAATGAAATTTGGTATAGATGTAGAGGATAGTCTGTAAGAACACATAGGCTGCTCACTTTTGTTTTTAATTTTAATTCCACGTGAACGGAGTCACGGAAGATAGCTAGTAAAATATATTTTGAAATCATTATATTGATTATGTCTAATTTCACGTTTTAGAACTTTTACAATTTTACATAGCTTAATAAGTACACGAAAACAATATTGATTTTATTTACATACTAAGAAAAAAAGAAAAAACTTCAAAAAGCCGGCAACACTCGAAATGTCAATTTACTTGCTAACATTAAAAGTTTAAACTCTGCATTTCAATACATAATAGTAATGTTTTTGGAAGTTTCATCCGAAATAGAGTAATGTACAAGTTTTTTCGGTAGTAAATAGATATAATATAATAAAATATCTTAAATATAGGAAACATATACGTTTTCTATATTAAAGAGAACTAATTACGTCGTCCCCTGTACCCCCCGCGGCCCCTGCGCTCCTCGTCATAACGACCTTGATTAAAACCCTGCCCTTGGTTACCTTGAGGTTGGTAACTTCTGTAACCTGCAATATTTTACGTTATAAATGCGAAATTTGGATGAATGTTAAAATTTGTTTAAACTGCTAAATGGATCTTTATGTCTTTGTTTTTATCTGGAAGAACCCAGGCTACTTACTTTTTTTTTCCACAGACGGAGTCGCGGGGAAAAGCTAGTATTTAAATATGAATGTTTGTATGGATGGACGTTTGTTAGAATTTGTAGCCTAAACTGATGAACGGATCTCAATGTTTCTTATAGATGTAAGGAATGGTTGGAAGAACACAGGCCACTTACTTTTTTTTATTTCCACAGACGGAGTCGCGGGTAAAAGCTAGTATTTAAATATGAATGTTTGGATGGATAGATGTTAAAGTTTGTCTAAGCTAAATGGATCTCGATGTTTCTTATAGATATAGAGAATAGTTGGAAAACATAAGCTAGTTTTTTTTTCAATTCCACGCAAAGTCGCGGACAAAAGCTAGTTTAACATATATGAAATCTACGTAAAGTTTTTTAACATACCTGGTGTAGAATAACCTTGGTTGAAAGTACCAGCGCTGTCGTAACCTTGGTTGTTACCATAACCTCCTTGATTGTTGAAACCTTGGTTGTAACTTTGGTTTTGGTTGTAACCTTGGTTTTGGTTGTAATTCTGACCATAACCGCCCGGCGGCACTTCGAACGTTTGATAATTACGTTGATTCTGGTTCTGGTTGAAATTTTGGTTTTGAGATCTGAAATAGAAAAGAAATCGTTGAAATTACAAGTTTCTGAAATTCAAATTCAACTTGAAACATCATCTATACTGATAATAAAGATGAAATATTAATAATTTTGCATTAAACGAATAAACTCAAAAACTAATGGATCTATTTTAAAAATATCATCATTAGAAAACTACATTAATATAAATAAATACACTGTGCAACAGAATATATTTATTATTATATTATAATTCCGCGCAGAAGTCGTAGGCAAAAGCTAGTTGCATAGTTATTGTTAACAAATAGATAAACAAAATGCTATAATTTCTATAACAAACCTGTTCTGATCTTGTCCCTGGTTGTACCCGCCCTGCACCCTGCCGCCCCCTCCCCTGCCGCGACCCCCGCCGCTGCCTTCCCTACCTCCCCTAGGACCACCGCGACCACCACCCTGCAATACACAAAAAAAAAATAAAAAAAACGGAAAATGAAAAATTCGAATTTTAACTAGCATTTTTTTTCAATATTGCATAGAGACACTACAATATTATTTTATTACAAGCTGTTCCCGTGCGGCTTCATCCGCATGAAATTATGAAAATTTGATTTTATTGTATACATTTGTCAAATTATCAATTACAAATGTCAAAATGACACGACATGATGACAACCTTGCTTCCTTGATGTTGGCAGCAACTAACTTATGGTCTCTTTCCCACGTTAGGGTCTTTATCCAAAATATTTACCACCTAAGTTTAATGGCGTGAAAATATATAGCCTAAAGCGTGACGTAAATGTAGGTCTTTTTAATTAAAAAAGGAACTATTCAAAAACATGCTGTAATTGCTGATATCTTGGGCAACAAAGAGGTGTGTGTTTACGCTTTATTATAATATTATTATTTTTATAGATATACTAGCTATTTCTCACAAAGCTCCGCACGGAATTAAAAGACAAAACCTAGTCTATGTTCTTCCAGATTACATCTATGACAATCATCGAGATCCGTTCAGCTGTTTAGGTTACAAACTCTAACACAAACATACAAACTTTCACACTAATATTATAAATGCGATAATCTGGAAGAATACATAGGCTACTTACTTTTGTTTTATTAATTCCACACGGAGTCGCGGGCCAAAGCTAGTTTATAACATAAGTAATACACTAATAAGTTAGTTACCTGCGGCGCAGACCTCTGTTGCCAAGAAGGCATCTCCGGTGGAGGAGGTTGCTGCTCATTGGGACGACCTCCTCGGTCTGGTACCTGGAATTATATAAATAAATGTACATAATTCCTTACAAAAAGTTTTTTTCTTTTATAATATAAGGTGGCAAACGAGCAAGCGGCCACCTGAATTCGCCAAAATGGTGAAGCGACCGCTGCCCATAGACATCCGCAATGGCAGATGCGTTGCCTACCCTTATACGACGGAGGAGGAGACGCACATAAAGAGGATATTTTCCCTTCCTATGCATCTCCTCCTCTATCAAATCCACTTCCCCTTTTTAACCTCTCCTTATAAAAAAAGGGTGGTAAAGAGAAAGGGACTTAAATTAGCAACACGATTGATATTTGTATATAAATTGTTGTACAATTCCACTATTTTGAGCAATAACTTTATTTCCAACTATTTTGAACAATGACTGTTAATTTCAAATACTTTGACCAACAATCACTTTTAATTTCTATTTTGACCAATGACTTACTATTTTGTACAAAAATGACTTTGAACATCAACTATTTGTTTAAGGACTTTACTTTATTATAACAATTTTTAACAATGATGACTTTAAACTTAAAATATTTTCGTCAATGATGTTTTGAAACTTCAACTATTTGGTTGACTTTACCTATTTTGAACAACAATGACTGTTAACTTCAACTACTTTGAGCAAAAATCACTTTCAACTCCAACTATTTTGAATAAAGACTGTTAACTTCAACTATTTTGAAGAATATTTAATTTTAACTTCAACTATTTTGACCAATAATGACTGTTAACTTCAACTACTTTGAGCAAAAATCAATTTCAACTACAACTATTTTGAACAAAGACTATTAACTTCAACTATTTTGAAGAATATTTAATTTTAACTTCAACTATTTTGACCAATAATGACTGTTAACTTCAACTACTTTGAGCAAAAATCACTTTCAACTATAACTATTTTGAACAATGGCCGTTAACTTCAACTATTTTGAACAATATTTACTTTTAACTTTAACTACTTTGACCAACAATCACTTTTAACTACAACTATTTTAACCAATGAGTTTACTTTTACTATTTTGTACAAAAACAATTTTAAACTTAACATGTTTTGGTCAATAATGATTTTAAAGATCAACTATTTGGCCAATGACTTCAACTATTTTAAACAGTAATTACTATTAACTTCAACTATTTTGATCAATATATTTTGACTTCAACTAACCTGACCAATGATAACTTTGTTGACTTCAGATTGTGTATTCTTCCTTACATTAGCGCTGGAAGTTTTATCTACATGTAATAGTGATGTCCTCGCAGCGAGGAAGTCACACAACTTCACTTCCGGTTTTACTTTCATCTGTTCACGTTTCGGTCTGTATATCGCTTGCATTTGATCCTTCTTACCTTTGAGTCGATCTGACCACTGAAATTATAAGTTTTGTAATACATTTAACAAGAATTTTAGTAAATTAAAACTGGTTTTTTCGTGGATATTCCTACAAATTGGTATAGATGAAGGAGGAACTATAATTTATTGAGATATTAACATTAAAACTCTAAATTCACATTTAAAATATTAAAGACTGGCTTTCGCCCGCGACTGCGTCCGCGTGGAAGTAAAAAAAAAAAACAAAATAGCCGCCTATGTGTTCTTCCAGACTAAGTTCTGGATCTATTCAAAATTTCATTCAGATCCGTTCAGCGGTTTAGGCTAGAAAATCTAACAAACATCCATCCATCCATCTAAACTTTCACATTTATAACTTTAGTAAGAAATTTGCCTGTCGCATACAATTTAAGCAATAAATTATTTTATGGTTAAAAAACTCGTAATATCCTTGACTTATTTCCTTAAAGTTTGTGATAAAAATCATAAACTTCAAGTAAAAATTCAATACAACTGTAAATTACATTTGCAAAGATTAATTTATAAATCTATTGTTTTTTTAAATGAAAATATAATGTATTTTTAATTTTTAAAACATTGTCAGAAGAAACTTAAAATGTCTGAGTAAACAAACCTCAAAACTCTGTATAGTACATTCCAATCTAGATATTAAAGTTTCCCGTCTCAGTCTATATTCATCATACATTTCTGTGAATATATTATCCAATGCCTTCCAATCTTTCTCAGTTAATGCTTTATTATATAATGGTTTTCCTACTAGTTCCTGACCTGTGAAATATAGTAAAAACCGGTTTCAACAAAGTGAAAGGGATTAACAATAATAGTGGTAATAACCAATACTAATATTATAAAGAGGAAAGTTTTGTGGTTTGTATTTTTGTATGTATTTAATTAACTCAAAAACTATTGAGCTATTTTAAAAATATTTCCACAATTAAAAAGCTATGTCATCAATGAGTAACATAGCCTATATTTTTTTATTATTTTTTGCAACGGGCTAGTTATCTATGTATTCAATTACGAAGGCAAATATAACAATAGAATATACATACATACATACATACCGATAAAGTCTTTATATAAATGACTACTTTTGAGTTAAAAATAGCCTATGTTAGTCAAATAAAATAATAAATCTTTTTACTGATGAAATTTTTAAAATTGGCCCACATTTTGTGATTATTTATTACATACAAAATTATAAAAAGTGACATCTTAAGAATTCTAAGAACTAGCTTTGCCTGTGACTCCGTCCGAATAGGAATTAAAAATAAAATAAACAGACCAATTGAGTACCTCCATCTTTTGGGAAGTCGGTCACCAAATAAAACTGAATATTCATACATCTAAACTATCGCATTCATAATAATAGTTAAATTAATGTAAAATACAGTATAACACTTACCTTCTTTTTGTATAGTATCTTTTAGTTTCGCTTCCAGTTTAGAGAATAATACCTCCGGAGTAATATTGGGAGGTGGTTTATTAAATTTTAAAGCTATCAAAATTTCTTTCAAAGCTTTAGCGGTGGGAGATTCTTGCTGAAAAACATTACTACATAAGAAACAAGAAAAAATATAGCTAGAATATAAGCATATTCTCTTAAAAATAGAAATTACATGTTACGGTAGTGGAAACAATTTTTTATATCATATAAACAAGCTACTTGAATTCGCCGATATGGCGAAGCGGCTACCTATAAACCATTCGCAATTGCAGATTTAATAATCAAAAGACACACATAAAAGGGATATTTCCCCTTCCTATGCATCTCCTCTGTCAAATCCACTTTCCATTCCCATCCTTTCCTTCTAAGAAAAGAGAAAGGGACTAAAATCAGGAATTCGACATCACACTCATCAGCCTGTACACAGAATTACTTCCACTACACGTCTGTCGTAGTATTTCTAAGTGAGTTGGCCCTACAGTGCTAAGATATTAAAACTATACCACTGTTAAAATATTTACATAGAGATATATGTATAGAGCGTCGGTGGCTCAGTGGTTGAAACACTTGACTTGTAATCTACAGGTCTTGGGTTCGAATCCCGCCATATCAATGTGATTTTT